TAATGCTAGAAAGGACCTTAGAGATGCCATACAATCTAAATCAACCTGTTCATTTTGTAAAATAAGGACACTGCATGGCTTTTAAAAGGCCACAAGTAGTTACAGGCAGACACAAAAGGGTGCTACTGACTCAAAGCTGTGGCAAAACTATATTACTTCCCATGGTACCAACCTCTCTGCCATTTTGGTGGTGTTGGCCTTTCAGGAAGAACCACCCAGAGCCACTGATGGCGGGCTGTCTGCCTCAGGGGTCCCACCTGTTTCAGGGGCTTCCCACCATCCAATCAGAAAAAACAGCAGGCTTGATGCTATGAAGGGGAAGACAGAAAGGAACCAAGCATTTTGTTGTGTTTTGTTTTCAGTGAATCCTCTGTTCACTCCAACAGTTATTGAAATGCTGACATGCTTCCAGGGAATGTTTTATTAATAAGTAAAGATTTAATTGTGGTTTTAAAAAGAGTGCTGCCCTAGCACTTTATTTCCTTGTAACAGCACCACCCAAGCTGCCTTTCATCTGATTTAGTTGCTACTCACCTGCCTTTTTTCACTGGATTGTGAGCTGCCCAGTGAAGGGCCACATCTTATGGATGTCTTTCCCCTCTACAGGGCTTATTAGCGCAGTGCTTTGCACACACTGTAGCTACTCAATGTTTTTATTTTGATGGACAAAATGTGGGAAAGATTCAGCAATGAAATAAGTCTCTTTAGTTTATAAAAAGTAACTCCACGGCTCAACAGTCATGACTTATAAACACTGGTACTCCCTGTCCCAATTATATTATAGAAAAGTTTTGTTCCCAGAAACTAACAAAACAGCATCAACTTTAAAAACAAGAGAAAAATTCATTTTGTTTTGTTCTCGTACATCTTTTTCTTTTTAGAGGTTTATGTTTTCTTTATGGACTGTAAGAAAATAATGGTGTTACAGGAAGTAAATCATTTTATATATAGTCACACTCTGCATAACATTTCGGTCAATGCCACCATATATATGATGGTCCCATAAGATTATCATAGAACTGAAAAATTCCTATTGCCTAGTGGCATCTTAGCCTGGCAGTGTCACACCAGAATGTATTACTCATGTGTCTGTGGCGATGCTGGTAAAAAAGAAAACAAAACCAAAAACCTACTATGCTGCCAGTACTATAAAAATGTAGCATGTACAGTTATGTACAGTACATAATACTTCATAATGATGAGGGATTATGTTACTGATTTATGTCTCTACTATGCTATACTTTTTATTGTTATTTTAGAGAATATTCTATTTTGTAAAACAAAGTTTGCTATAATAGTATGCTCTACCACACCAGCAACAACCTCCTACATTTCATGTTTATTATGTCTCTTGATTGCATCATTTCCTTTTGTGGTTGATTTCATCTTGTGTTGTTTTATACAGTAACATGCTGTACTTAACAAGAATACTCCTGCAGTAAGTCCTCATTTACTGACATCCATTAGTTGTTGGAACTGTGGTGAAATGTGTAATGAAACAAATGTCACCATAGGCTAACTGATAGAAACAAGAGTTAAAAGTTCCTATTTAAGCATCTCATCAAAGTTATAATGAAATAATGTTGAATACGATCACATCATTTTGGAACGTGCTGTACCAGAGTCTCCACCCACAGGCAAGTACATCAGAATCTAGGGTGGTGGGGTTGGGTAATCAGTACCATTTCTAATGCTCCCCAGATAACTCTAATGTGCAGCCAGAGTCTTGAAACCTTGCAATCAGTCTACAGGCATTAGATAGGAAGGAGAAGGAAGAACTAGCCTGGCATGAGAGAGAAGACCTTAGAAGCCATATTTCACTTGTGATTATCAGAAGCTCATGGAAAATATCCAAAAGTACTACTGAGCTATGCATGCTACTGAGCAAACATTCATTAAAATATTACATACAAGTTGGGTTTTTGATTATCTATTGTAAAGAGAAAAGGACTCTGAGAAAATCAATGCATATGATGAAAGGGCATAAAAAGAGCAAACTATATTACAAAGTGATTTTGGAACTGGGGCTATATGAACTTCAGAAGAAAACATCAAGCAATATTTCAACAACTGTTTTTAAAATTATAGAAAGACAAGTACCACATGATTTCACTCATATGTGGAATCTAATGAACAAAATGAACTATCAAGCAATATAGAGACGGAATCATAGACAGCAGGCTGACAGCTGTCTGGGGAACAGGGCGGCTGGCGGGACTGAGCAAAAAGAAAATAGAAAAAAGAGGGAAAACTCATGGACATGGGTACCAGTGCGGTGACCCCCAGGGGGAGAGGAGTAGTGGGTGGTGAAGGAGGGTACAGGAGGGATCAGTGGTGATGGAAGGAGACTTGACCTGGGGTGGTGAACACACAATACAGTGCACAGGTGATGTGCTGTGGAATTGTGCATCTGAAACCTGTATAATTTTGTGAACCAGTGTCACCCTAATAAATTCAATAAAAAGGAAAAAAAAATAAAGCAATCTTTCCCTCTAAAACATACATACATACATACATACATACATACATCTTGTGTCATATGGATGCAGGTGATATTAGCTCTTTGCATAAAGAATATTTGACAATATTTGTCTGTAGATAATTTATACAGTGTTAACAATTATTAAATGTAAGTATATGCATTTTAAAGAAATAAAATATTCAGACTTGTAAGAGACTTCTCAGATTACAAATTTAACCCACAGAGTATTCTTTTTGATGACTTTGTGTGGGTTTCTAGAAAAAATGTTTGTTAATCTATTGCAACACCAACCACACGTAACCGTTTTCCTTCCTTCTCTTTCAGCTGCGACATGAAGCTTCTCTGATCTCTGCAGCCCTGTTTTTAGCCCCCCTGGCAACACAACATTTGCTCTCGTGGAAACCCAGAGGTCAGCAAAAGCAATCAGCCTCCCTCTCAGGATAACTGAACGGTCCAAAACGTCATGTGAGGACCGAAATGTGTTGGTTTGCTATGGCGAGAAGACCCCTGTCATCAAACAGCCCTGCCGCACTCTGTACCTTTCTTCACACAACATTTCCTTCCAGGTGGAACAGTTTACTATATCATGTCTTTCCTACTGTTGGGGCCCAGAGCAGGCCACCCTAAAAATATCCAAAAAAGGCATATCTATTACTTTGAATTAAAGTTATCTGATAAGCAGCCAATGCAAGAAGGGCACATTGACCCTCCTGAATGCAGGAAATAAATCTCTCCAGTGACAGGCACCCTCATCACTCCAGGAAGGCAAGGGAGACACCCATGTCCCGAGAATTAAGGAATTCGGGGCCAAAAAGCTGTATAAACAGAACTTGTTATTTCTTTACTAATTTACTGTCTGAGCCCAAACTTTGTCAAGATTTTCAACTAATGAGTACACAAACTAAAGTGTCTTTGTCTTGTCAATTCTTTACCAATGTATGGTTTCTTTGTCTAAAAGGTATAAAAAGCTGGCTGGTTCAACATTTCTCAGAGTATCATTTCTGATTTCCTGTGTGCAGGTATTACATTGCTTTTTCTTCTAGTAATCTGGCCTTAGGTCACTTTTATTATTAGTCCAGCAGCCATAAGAACTCAAGAGGGGTAAAGGGGGGAAAACTTTCCCTCCTCAGCACCACTTTGTGCTTTTATACTGTAATGCAATATAATCAAAGTTCACCTTTGATTCTCCCGGAACCCAGTAACATCTAGACTTAGTGTTCCAAAATATTAGTTTAATAAATAAATACATGAAAGAATAAATGAATGCATAAATGAACCATGCGCCTCACTGGTTTGTTATTGTGTCAGTTGCCACCCAAATCACGTTAATATATTTATTTTTCACTTGCTCATCATTCAATAATTAATTGTTCTAACTGAAAATCTTCTATGTATTCAGCGCTGTGCTGAATGGTCAAAAGGAACAGCCCCTATTCCTAGCAGCTAAGAATATAGCGAAATGTTAACAAAAGCAATTCTAGGGATTTAAGTGCACAAACACATAGGTTGATAAATACGTCAGAAACATCCATTTAGTTGATAAACACTAAACCAATAGTTAATATGAACTACTAATGCCACTAATAAACAGAGATAAAGAGCATTTGAAGGTTATGAATGAGAGTGATTCTTGTATCTCATATTTGGCTACCGCTAGGGTGAGAGAAGTGTTTACATGGAACAATCCAGGAAGAAGTGGATTTGTATATTGACAATGACTCACTGATCAAAAAGGTTAGCAGCAAGACCCCCAGCTAAGCCTGAAATTAGTACTGCAGTGACTTTAATCAACTCTCTTTTCTTACCATTATTATATAACCAACAGAGAATAAAATAGTCTCTGGTTCTCAAATATTAGATTTTTTTGTTTTTTTTTTGGGCGGGGCGTTTAAATAGAGAATGCATGACCTAGCTTATCCAGTGGTAGAAAAATTAGAAAGTGGACAGAAACCTGAAGATTTGGCTTTTCAGGCCAGCAAAAGATGAGACAAAGAGTTTGAGTTCTTGCCTGGGGTTCAGCACTTCGATGTCTGCCCTTGATACTCTTTAAAGGACACCAGATTTTTCTTACTTCTTAAAATGGAATATATGGAAACCGAAATAACAGATATAGACTAGGCCAATGAATCAAAAGGTGGGGCTGTGGCTAGAAGAAAATTCTGAGTATAGAAGTAAGTCCTCAAAGAAGGCTTGAAGAAGTTATGGGTTACTTAGATTAGGTGTTCTTGAGAACCAGGTCCACAAAAAACACAGAAAGAGAGGCAATAAAATGAAAAGAAACCAAAGAAATTGGGTTGCCTGGGGACACACCTTAATAAAAAATTTAAATTTGGTTAAATCTCTCACTCATCTTTAGTATAATATTCTTAGGTTATCTTAAAAGTATTCATACTGCACAGAAGGAAGACAATTATACTTTTTAACAGTATTCTAAGTCAGATTCTTTCCCTTAATCCAACCAAAAGGAGGGGAAAGGACCCTCTTCTGAATAAACATATTAAAACTGGAATATACATACTCATCCTTGTCCACCTTTTCTCGGAGCTTCTTTAGTTGTTTATTTTGGATTAACTTCAAATTTTGAATTATGTTCTCAAAGTATGCATCTTCTTTGTAGTTCAACTATATTATATAAAAAATTTGGGGAAAAATATTAATACCAGTATCTTCAAAGCTTTTGCTAAAAAAAAAATAGAGGATTTTTTTTTCCAAATTCTGTTAATAAAGTTAACAGAGAGCATTAAAACTAACAAAGAAGGATTTAGTTCTAATCAGACTAGTTCATTATTATAGGTCATTGCTGCTCTCGCTGAATAACCACTTCAATCTATTCTTTTGTAATTAATCAAATAAAACCAAGTGTTAGGCAAGACTTACTATATTGATCTTTACATACCAGATGTGATAATAGCATATTCTTATTAGTACCTACTATGTGCCAGGCAATATTCTAAGAACTTTAAATATAGGTAACACTCTTTTAATCCTCTTAATAATCTCATAAAAATGGGCTGTTATCCACCACTTAAAAATTGAGGAGACAGAGGCACAGACAAGTACACTTGCCCAAGTTACTGAATGTAGGAGCTGGTATTTGAACCATTGAGTTCAACTTTGATTCTATGCTCTTTGTAAGTTACTGAGTGGTGGAGCAAGGACTTGAACTTGCACAGTTCAGCTTTGAGTCTATGGTCTTAACCACTAGGCTCCTGCTATGAGGGCCCGCCAGGACTCACAAGTTGCAGCCAGCTCATTTCAAAGAAACAGTCAAGGCTTTCTGCAAACAGAAAAGGAGAAGTGGGCACTGTGTCTTGCAAACCCTCACATTAGGCAAGTAATCAATAGATTAGGAATCGTTGTTCTCTCTGATTTGCTCAAGAATTACCCTGTCGTCACCAGGGTTTCAAGGAGTTGTGGTGACCACAAGGTTCGTAATGAAATCCCCAACTAAGTCTGAAATCAGTACTGCAGTGACTATATTCAACTCTTTTTCTCTTGCTATTATTATATTACTGAAGCAGAATGCAATAGTCCCTGGTTCTCAAGTATTATTATTTTTTGTTTTCTTTTTAAATAGAGAATGCATGACCTAGCTTATCCAGTGGTGGAAAAATTAGGAAGTGGACAGAAACCTGAAGATTTGACTTTTCAGGCCTGTGGAAGATGACATAGGGAGTCTGAGTTCTGCCTGGGGTTCAGCACTTTGATGTCTGCCCTTGATACTCTTTAAAGGACACCAGATTTATCTTCTTAAAATGGAATATATGGAAACCGAAATAACAGATACAGGCCAGGCCAATGAAAAAAAAGCCAGAACTAAAACAAACGTACATCTGTCTTCAGTGTCAAAGGCTTTATATAATATTTAAAACCTATGGTTTTTGGCTACTTCATACAGTTTCTGCCACTCCAAAGCTAGAAATGACATTGCCGCCAGGCCCAGGTGTCAGTAGCCCAGAGTCTTTATAGAGACTTACCTCCTGGTATTCTTTATTCAGTTTGTTATCATCGGAGATAATGTCGTCAGGGTAGCCGATTCTTTCTTTAATGGCTAAGGCCTAGAAAATTATAATATTGAATGTGAGGAGGCTTATTTAACTTTCAAACGCAAACATTGTAATTTGCCCATGAGTATCAACTGAATAACTTGATCCCACACTGTTCACAAAAGGAGTTATCTGATAACACTTACTAAGGGACCTTTGAAGTGGCTTCTTCCTGGGGCTCAAAATAAACAAAAGATTGGTCTGAAATTTAGCTTCTAATGCTAATCCTCATAGGTTGCAGCTTTCCCAAGAAAACCAAAAGGAAATTTGACAATTCAATGTGCCATGTGTATTGTATTTTCATGAACTTTTTCTCTGAAAAGTTTTTCTTCAATTTATAGGAGGGTTAATATTTAGAGGGTTCACATTCTAGCAGCTTATAATTAATTATCTTTCCACTTTACTGATTTGGCTCAGAAAATGGCTATGGGCTTATATGTTTAGTGTTATTCTTTCTGAATATTGATTCTTGGAGTTTTTATGTTCTCCTCCAGTCTCCAAAGTTGTGTACCTGTCTTCTCAAAGTTAAGTGAATGACATTAATTAAACAAGTGAAAAGCCAGGAGATTTCTTTTTTATACCAGTTCATATTTACCATTCGCTTAATGCCATTTCTGATTTTTATGTTTATTATTTTAAAATTGTTTACTTATTTTTATTTGATGATTACTACTTATTTACTACCTGCTATTTCTATTTTTTTATTTTCTCAAAGATACGTGACTTTTGATTCTATCATTTCACATTGCTCTTTCTTAAATAATTTAATTAATTTAAAATTTTTCATGGGTAATTAGGCTTGTGTCTCCGAGTTATTTGGTTTGCTATCAAATGGATGTCATTTTGTTGCGCATCCATTTCATTAGCCCAGGACTCCCTCAGTGGCTGGGACAGGGTATGTGTCGCTAAGTCAGTTAGGCTGCACCCATCTTCTTGAAGGTTTCCACACCATCAGCTCATTATAAATCAGCCCCTTTTCATTAGCGCTTCATTTTCTAGAAGGCATTTCCCCAAAGAGTGTTCTGAGAGACATAAACTCGACTGAAATAAAAGTTGCTACATAAAAAGGATCTACTGTCAGATACTTTGGCTATTTGCACAGTAATACTGTGATATTAACATTATGCCAGGCTTCTTAGAGTCAAAATGAGGTAATTCTAAGTGTCCAAGAGGAGGAATTAATTTGTCCATATATTCATTCAATACATGTTCCAGGGTCTATGATGAGCCAGTTACTTTGTAAGGAGCTGAGACCTCAATGCCAGGCAAAAGTCTCTGTCCCCAAAGAGCTCACTGCAGAGATCAATGATAGGCAATAAAATGAGAACTCTCAAGTGTGATGTATGGTGTCATAAAATCACACCCTAGAAGCACGTAAGTTAGACTAGGATGGGATCAAGGAAGTCTTCCTGCACAGACCGTTCACACCCTAGAAGCACGTAAGTTAGACTAGGATGGGATCAAGGAAGTCTTCCTGCACAGACCGTTCTCACTGGACATGTTGTTCCTTCTAGTTTTATATTGTTATCAAGACAAATGATAACAATAAATTCTTTGACGACGGGACTCTCTTTTGTGGAACAACTTGTCAGGTCCCGTGTTTTATGACACCGCCTTGGGACATGATGATGTAGAACAATGCAGCTGGCTACATCAGACAGAACCATGCCAAGGATAGCTAGACCATGAATAAAGCGAATATAGACCCAATTCCTGAGGGCTTTGTTAGAGTGGTGAAAACAGAGGGGGGATTAAATTCTAGACCTAATGCACCCAGGGCTCTCTGAAGCCAAAAACGATAGTCCTTCCACATGATTTATATCTGAAAGAGAACTAGACTACAGCTTTGATTCTCTTATTATAATAGGTTTTTGAACTCCTGTTATCGATTCAAAACTTGGTCTGTTCTTCCTGTCACCTTAACTACAAGAAATAATCAGGTTGCATGTGAATGCCGCTCATAAAGCACAGACCGTTCTCACTGGACATGTTGTTCCTTCTAGTTTTATATTGTTATCAAGACAAATGATTATAGTAAATTTAATCCTAAAATTTTCTTAGACTCTTACCTGTCTTCTTATACAAGATATTACAAGTCCCAACAAAAGGGACTACAGATCACCTTATAAAACTCAAATATTGCACTGCCTTACTTTTGCTTGAACAAAAATAAAGTATTTTTTTATCCCTATGATATATAAAAAACTAGATGGGTCATGTTTTTAAAAATTTAGCTACAAATCTGCATTAAAAATCAGGCACATATTTTTGACATTGTTAGAGGCTTTCTAGTTATTTTTCATAAAAGGAGGACAATTATGAACTGCTCATAGTATCATTTCATTCTTTACTTGTTCACATTAGATTTTCCTCTTGTTTTCTGAAGACTTTCTTAAAAAAGGAAAAAAAGGAAAGTTAGATCTTTCGAAGTTTTGAAATGAACATGGAGAGTTGGAGCTGGTTGCAAAGAAATAATAAAAAATAAAAATCATGGAAAAAACCTTTATCCATGAAAACTGTTCTTGGAAACATTATATCTTGAAGGAACTTGTTTTTATTTTATGCACTTCTTTTGTTTATCACTGCCTATGATCAGGTTTTTACTAAAAATTTTATGCAATCCTTGATTATATTTTTCCTGAATTTTCTTAAAAGTTGACATTTCTTGATAAAGACAATTTTTTTTCTTTGATAGTTAGCCCTGTCTTGCTTTTCACCTTTTCTTCAGCTTTTTTTTTGGTTTCAGCATCCATCCAAGTGAGGTCATCTAAGGTCTGAATAAAAACTTCCCGGATCTGCGTGATCAAATCCTCAACCTTAAACCAAAAGAATAGAAGGCAAATTTAGGCCACTCGTTAATTTTTTTAACACAAATTTTAAAAAGTAGAGCTCTAATCTGCCTTTATGTCACTCAATAATATATTAACAAATGTAAATGTATAGGCAAACTATGACCTAAGCAAATGGATATATGTGGATAATTTTATTTTTAAAACATTGCTATTATCAATACTTATGATTAAACAGGTCTTAATATGTACATTAATTAAAAATCATGTTTAGAATGTATTGGTTTACATTATCATAAAAGAAGAACATAAAATATTAGCTGACATTACCATTTGTAGTTTAGTAAAACATGACGTAGCATTTCAATAGATTCTTTCACCATACCTTCAAGTTCCATTGCTTTCATTTCAATAACAATGAAAAATGGAGTACATTTCACACTTCCAGGAAATGTAGGTTTACTTTTAGGTTTTTAAGAAAACACTAATTCAACAGGGGCAAAAATGGGGACAACTGTAACTGAACAACAACAACAACAAAAAGAAAACACTAATTCTTGGTCAATTTTGTTAACAGAGGAGTTTATAAATGACTATATTACTAGAACATGTGGCTGTTTCCACAGTCTATTACTTCTGGGGAAAGGAGAGTTGGTTTTCGACTAAACAACATTAGGGTCAGACACATAACCAGACCCTTGGGAGACAAAGAATGAGATTTACTGTGAAATAATGGTAAATTATGATTCAGAAGTTCCCTGACAATTAATAAAATTTTAGCCAAAATCTGGACTAATGTAACTGCCCATCAATGCAAACAAATAACTGATAATGTACTGTGCTGAAAATATTACCACATGTTTACTCTCTCCAGCAAATGCTGCATTTACATAAAGCCTTCCCACAGCATTTTCCATGTTCCCATTGACATAGTTTGCACAACGTCTCCAAGTCGCTGTTTCTGATGTTGTGCCATAAAGGGCCTGTGGGAGAGAAAAAGGAAATGGTGTTTGATCAGGAGTAAGACGGCTGGAGCACGGTAAGAGCACAGATTTCTCAGACCTCTATTCTTTTATGTCTCCTAAGTTCTTGTAATATTCATTGCTTCTCCTCACAAGGCAGGTTCTTGCTTATGATAAAGTGCAATCCAACTACATTGTTTACTTATATGTGATCTGAAGGTAAGGTGTATTTGCAGTACCTGTCCCCATAGAACTTTTTGCTACTACACAGTAATATCCTTCCAGACAGAGTTAGAAAAAAGCAACAACAAAAAAACAACCCCCTCCGAAAAAAACAAAAACCAACGCTCTTACCACTGTATAAACATAAATGTGAAATGATATTCAATAAACACATCAGGGGAGAAATCTGCCATACCAAAAAAAAAACCCCCATTCTTGTTTTTTTAATGTTTTAGCTGAACTTCCAGTACTTAGAAGAACTTAATATGTATAAATTTAAGTACCAATAAGGGGACTAACTTAGGTAAGGGAGATTTAGCAAAACACCATTTTTATATTCTTGAATTTTAAAAATGTGTCTATATATTTTTAAAGGGTAAAAACAAGAGAATTTCAATCAATCAGAGTTATTTCCTTTCCATGACACCATCCAGTACTAGACACCAACTGTTTGCTAGAATTGCTCCTTTCTCAATCCCTCCTGAGCTCGCCCCGCACAGCAGGACTGAGGTGATGGCTGTTCAAATGTGGGTGCAGCCTAATAAAAGGCGCTAAGATCGTCTCCGGGCAGGTGCATTCTCAGGGGACTGTCCACGTCAATGCAGTCCATCTGTGTGTCTGTCTAGTGTGCTAGGAACACCTACAAAATTGAGTTACCTGAGATATCCTGGTAATTATTTTTTAACACATGAAATAAACCAAGCCCGTATGTTTCATGAAATGCTCACATAACCAAATGCATAGCCTTCCAGGGCATTTCAATCATGGTGCCACAGGAGACAAACATAGGATGGCAAAGCCCATAAAAACTGGCTTTTCTATGATGGCTTTTTCTAGACATCATAGCCTAAATATGAGCAAAACAACCAACATTTGGCGTTTTGTCTTTTGGCACAGTCTCCACATTCTAGCAGTATACATGGCACCTTCAAAACCATGTGCCTCTTTATGTTTTAAGTCTTAAGAAAAGAGAGATTGTTTCTTCACCTTGCGGAAAGCATTTCTGGACTCCTTGTAGGTTCTGCTGAGGCTGCTTACAAGATCCATTATGAACCGCCAGGACATTAAATTTTGAAGATCTCTGTATAAAAAAACCCACCACCCAGCAACAGAAAAGATGAGGCTGCAAAGCTTCTAAAGAGTGATATTAAATGTAAACTCTGAGGACACAGGCACTCTGATATACCTACCTCGCAGAATATTTGGTAAGAATGAGCTTAAGTTTGGTTAAATATTCTGGAGCATAAACAACCACTTCTTCCTCATTTGCAATATTAATATTCACAGTTGACATAATTTCATTTGTGAAATTTGACCAGCTGAATGGCTGGAAAAAAACAGGCACAAAACATTCAGTAATTACGAATTTCTCTCCTTGATTCCAACACTCAATTATGGTTTGGGGTCAGACGTATGGTTAGGGTGTCAGCTGCATCACAATATAATTATCATAATCATCAGTCGGATACTTGTTTGGGATTTTCCCTCAATTGTTTCAGTTGGTTTTGAATAAAAATTAGTTCTGCAACATGATTATTTTCATAGCAGAATTAAACCAACCATTTAAGAACAAAAGCAAAGCCTCTAAGCTAGGAATTAGGTTCAATGTCATCTTCTTGGTCTAATCAATATAAAATAAAGAAAAATTTAGCTTACAAGATAAAACTTCCTTGGTTTATGCAAAAATTTAAATGGGTATAAAGTGTTTACCTTTTAGAAATGGATAATAATAAACAACCACTCAAACACAGTAATATATCTCAGTGGCTATCTTGCTGTAACTGAAAGCATATTATAGCCATAGCAGAGGCATGGTGAAATTATATTCAATAGATCCATCAGAGAGGGTCCAATGAAGCCAAACAAAACACTGTCAACATAGGTCTATAATAGGCCTGCGATTTTTACACTTCAGAAACTAGGTCTGGAGTTGCCAAAAGTTGGATCTTGTCTTTTTAAAATGGAGTTTGTAGATTTTTCTCATGGTTGTTGCTTTATTTCCCAATTGTGTGCCTCAACTAATACACAAGTACATATGAATAGTCCCCAAAAGAGATAATTACATACTAGCTAATGAACTACAACTAAGCAAAAAGATGTCCGCTGCTGTTAACAAATGGAATCTACAAGACGGTTTTCTTATTTCTTGTTTTTATTTCTCCATTATTGCTTGCAACACCTCCATAGATGTCTCGATGAGAACATAGAAAGTTCTATGAATAAGTTACTACTTTTAGGAGTTAAAAGGAAATCAAGCACTTCTGTTGTCTGACTGTCCAACTCTGATGGCTATGTAATGGTCTTTCAAAAGGATTTTCAGTTTCAATATTTTCCAAACCCTTTTCTATCATCCTTCCCACCATTCTTGCCAACCTGGCTTTATAGGACCTTTACCTTTAGAATTCCCTCTAACTAAATATAATAGTTTCAAATCATTTTTTTAGGTCCTGTTGTGAAGTCAAATGGTTGGTGTCATCTAAATTCATTTGATACTCAATTTTTGCAATAAATAAGAAATCACTGAATTTTAATATTTCAATGCTATGTTTTAGAAATGGCACAATGAGAGAGTACATAAAACTTGCTACTTACCTTCCCACTGATCTCTAGTGAAAAGTTATTTTGGATCTGGGCTAAGGTCATTTTGTTATAAAGAAGCATTGGATCATTTCGATTTTCAGGTTGATCTGTAGCCTACGGATTTAATTTTTGATCATTAGTTTAGAACTAAGGATTATTTAGAAAAAATATAACTATATTTGAGGAAAAAAGAAATATAGAAGGTAAAAATACTTTAAGTTCTACTCTGTGCTTGTTTTGTAATTTATTTTGTCTTATCAAAAAGAAAAGCAAAATTTAAGAGATTTTAAGAATATTCGGTAACAATTACCAAGTTTTGGCTGCAGTGTTGAGTATAATATTTCTCAAAATATTTTTATATTTTTGAGAACAGCCAAACCACAAAAGCAATATTTTTAGGCCTGCTGCCTTCTATGGATAATAGCCAGGTCAGTTGTGTTTGTTTCAATTATAATAATTTTGAATATAGTCACCTCCAAAATATTGTTCAAATTCTGTCTCCCACCACCAATCCCTGTCAGTGTCCCAGTTAAAATTCAGACAGAATCCCCCCCCCCCCCCCCCACACACAATGGTTTCTGCAAGAATTTAAAGCAAATAAAACAGAGGAAACTCCTAGGTTGCAAGTTATCTGAGAGTGCTAGCACCATGTCCTTTTGTGACTGTCCTTCCATCCTGCCTCGCCAGTTGGGTGCCCTATGCTCAAGCACATCCAGTTTTACTTTTTTCATTGAATCAAAAGAAAAAAAATTCCAGTAACAACTTCCCAACTAGTGGACCAAATGAGTAAAAGCAATTTTAAATGAGAAGGGACAAAAGGTAAAAGTTTAAAATGGCAATTGTTTTTCAGAGACAATTGCTCCAATTTCCCCTTTAGGTCACTTATTTATGCCTTTATTTCAAACATTATTTATTGAACATCTCCTGCATGCAACAATAAGCTGGACACTGTTAGAGATACATAGGTGATTCAAAGATGACTAAGGTAGCAGCCCAACCTCTGAGTCTAGGATAGAGAGAACAAAGGGACACAAATAATTCTGAGATACAACTACTGGAAACCTCAGGATGATCAAAGGGGAACACGGTCTGGGAAGGTGCAAGTGCTAAAACCCCAGGACAAGAAACCGTTCTCCTCTAATAATTCTGTTTTCAACACAGAGCAACATGCAACCCGTCAAACTTCCATTCAACCCCACTGCAACTGCAAGCAAAGCCTGGTCCTCAATGGAGATTTTTGGTTGCATGTAGTGCTAGGAAAGCTAAATATTGTCTTTAAAATTGTTCAGTCTTCAAGATTCTGATGGCAGTGGCAAGCAGATGGAATTTGGGAGTACAGGTGGTTGTCTGCATTGTCCCAGAGAGCTGGTGGGGCCGAGACTGAAAGTGACCATGCGTTCATCGATAACCTGGATGCTGCTGCAACAGAGTTTCCCACCTGAGGCTGCAGACTCATTCAGACAAGTGAATGCCGACTCAGACTCCAAGAGTTCCCATGGAGCCAGAGGAAATTCATGAACATCCCCTTTGGGCTCTGCTGATGAACTCTTCTTCTATGACCTCCCCTGAGCTGGGCAGCGGACTGAACTCTGTGGCATCATACAGTCACATGGCCATGTTCAGCAGCTAATATTACTTGGCAAAGGGATGGAGATAAGCTCTGTAATCACTACAAACTTCTTTTTAAAAGAGTAAATTTGTACCTATCAAGGCTAAAAGAGCTGTGCTGAACAGTTTAGAAATCAAGTATGTCCTGAGTTTCACGGACATCTCAATGACAGTAGTCAGAATTACGATATAATTTGCTTATAATAGGTAATTACTACCTATGAATCAAGTGTATCTAGCTTAATATTTGTTAAGCTTCACATGTCTCTCAGATGTCAACAGCCCAATTTATTATAAAATTCTACAGTTCCAAAGGTCCTCTCAAAGTTAACGATCCTTTACTAAGCTAGGCATTTTTGTCATTTGGTTAAGGAGTTGCACCTTTTACCCTTGACATATGATAGAGAGAAAAAAGAAAAAAGAAGTGGTTGACATTATTCAGTGTATCAAAGATAATGTGTTTTACATTGGCAATTTCTTTTTCCAATTCCATAACTTTATTCATTTCCAAGGAAAGCTGGCTTTCATTTATGGGCAATCCTCTTTCTTGACGAATCAGTTTGGCCACAGAAATCATGAAATCCACATATGCTGTACAAGCCTGCAAGAAATAAGCAACAGTAAATTTACTGGCAAGCCTTCTAAATATTCATCACAGTGTTTTAACTTAAAATTTTATTTTCAATTCAATATTAATTTCTGCTAAAAGGTAAAACACAATAAAATAGATATCCTTTCCTAAATCCTAAAAGAAATGACCTTCACGGATTCTTAAAAGTTAATGTGTCTGAAGGAGAGCAAAACAATAATAAGGTATCACTTTGAAAGTATTAAGTAATTCATAACCGTTTGGTTATGAATATTTTATAATTTTCAATTTTCAGTCAAGTTATTTTAAATTGCCTTAATACGATTTCAGTTATAAAACACTTAATACCCTAGTATTTTTTAAAAAAATACTAATATATTCCTAATCAAATTTCCTTTTCTCAGGTTTTCTCTGCATATATGTGTGTATTCGTGAAGAGATGGCCACAAACTCACATTAGTATTTTCAGGACCTCTTAATATTTGTCTCCACTGGCCAACCAGCATTCTTTTTGTAAATGAGACTGTTCTTACGAGCTTCTCCAACACAAACCTGCGGCCTCTAGTTAATTCCATAGTTGGCTCCCATGACTATAAACCTTCTAAGGTACCATAGATTTGGATATCAGCTTTCTTCTAAGACCCTGAATTCTTTCCACTTTACCTTCACATACATTTTAACTTCGTGAAGGTGAGCCATAAACAAGTTACACTACCAGTCTTTTACAGAGTATATACATGCCTTAAGTTCAGAGTGGCCTCAACTCCAGGAAATCGAATGCCATTTCATAAATCCCGACTCACTGCCATTTAGCCATTATTATCTATCAACAAGTAGGATAAATTATGATTCCACCTCATTAAAATTTACTCAAAACTCAAGTTCCCAGTACCAGCTTGATGACAAGCAACATGATTGGAAAAGCTAGGCCACACAAGTGTGGGATCGATGGGCACATCGGTGCTCCTAGGACCTGGTTACAGGGTAAACGCAAAGGAAGGCCATCCAGTGCTCAACACTTTCTGTTTCAAGAGAGTTTTATAGCCCTTCCACTGGATTGTCAGTGATAAGGGTATGTTACATTCACTGTGAGTACAAAAGCTCATCTGAATTCATAGTGACTCATTAAGGGGATTAAACAAACATAAAATGCATAAGGGAATGAAAATGTTTTATCAAGCAAGAACCTAAGCAAAATGTACAGGGTTATTCTCAACTTGAAAGTCCAGAGGCCACCTTTACAGACACTGGCATTCCACAACCTTTACTAAATACTAAGTAAACAGTTCCCTGGGGAGAGGGCCCCCTCCATGGCTACTCTGAGACGCAGGGGCCGTCTAGCTAGCGTCTCTATCTATGGATTTGATGCTCAATAAAACAGAATATTTTTCAGCCATGAGTCTATATTAAAAACCTAATCACTAAGGTACAAGATAATAGACTGTTTTTACATGTATTCTTGTAAATTCTATTCTTTCACTACTCAAAGGCAATCAGAATCCTTGTTCAGTTTGAAGTAAACAATTATGTCTGAGTTTATACCTCATAGGACCAACTATTCCAAAATATAAGCATGCAGTGTTTTTGAATTAACCTTTTCCTACTCAGAGGTAATCAGAATTCTTGTTTCACTTTGAGGTAAACAAATATGTCTGAGTTCATACCTCATGGGGCCAACTATTCCAAAATATAAGCTTGCAGTGTTTTTGAATTAACTGTATTTTGAATCATATAAATTCATCTACATTCATCAGGGGGTTGTGACTATGAAGAAAATGGTAATTTGAATTCTTCATTATCAACCTACTGAGATTATTATTTTTTTTAGTCTGTAAGGGATGCTTTTTGTGAATCATATTGTTTTCTTAAACAAGAATGCTCTTTTGCACTTTGCTGATTCTGCAAACTGATTCAACTCCAGTATCTTCATCCTTATAGATGTATCTAAAGACTATAAAACTTAGAATAAGGTAAACATGGATGATGGATGATGCTTCTGCTGCACTGGTCAAGTTTCCCAGAAAGCTGGAAGCACTAGCTTCTGGGATGCTTAGATATTTAATAAAGCTACTTGGAATACATTACTTCCTTTAATGAGCTTCATTACCTGGCAACTATTCCAATGTGACTGATTAAAACATGTCTTAATATCTTGATTATCTTCTCCAGCTTCCAAATTTATAGAGCAGCTGTCAGAGCACAGGCTTACTGCTGCTTTTAAATCCTTTCTACAAGATATGATTCGTCTTTAAGGTTTTAATTTCCATCCTTGAGATACTTTTAAATATACAAAATGCCAAATGACTGTAATTGTCATGATTTGGGGACATACTAATCAACACATATTTTAACATTTAAATACTACATTGGCCAGAATATTTTTCAAATTGAAATTCAGTTTTGTGTGTGTATGTGTGAGTAAGACAGCAATTAGTTATTAGGACAAGAACCAGTCAGCCATCTTCTTGGAGTCATAAGACAACTTAGTTCAAGTCTTAATATAGAGAATCCTGTAAAAAAGAAACCTCCCTAAATGTCTATATGGCCTTTTCTTTAAAAATAAAACATTGTAAACCCCAGTGCTTATAATAGCAGGTTCAGAGATGGCAACAGTTGGGTAAGATCCGTAACAGCAGTTTTGTGAGTTTTTAAATTACACACTATCAATGAAATGGTATTTAGCAACACCTAACACCATGAATTATTACTCTAATTAGAACTATCTTCATTTTGTAGGACCAAGCCATGATATTTATACATTAGTTCTGTTGAGAAGTTGGGCTCCTTCTGCTTGTATCCAATAGCTGACATTTGTTGGAATTGCCAAAGAGAAAGAAAGCAATGCCATTTGACTACTGTCCTTTAGGCTTCAGAATCTTTGTTAACAAGTAACAGCAAGACCCAGGGAAGAACAGGTAGCCCTCCTGTCAGATTGGCTGATACTTGTGTACCCTAGTGTGCCAATGACCTGTGGAACATGTGATTTACTTGCAAAGATTCTACTCCAGGGCACCCAACTTTTACCAATTTTCTGCCTTCTACCTTTCAGGAAGAAAACCAACATAACACGAAGCACGACGTGACTGAAATGTCCCGAACTCTGCTATTCCTAGAGGCTGATGCTGGGGGATATTTAAGAGTGTTACACAGGAAGTTTACTGGAGGAACTCACAGAGGACACAGAGATGGAGAAACACAGGAGTGCAAAGGATTCACTGTGGACCGTCATGGGGACTGTTTGGAGAACCTGCAGATTCATATGAGAAATTACTGTGCAATTTCTAAGCCTTGTTGCCTGTGTTTTTGAAGTTGTATGTAGTTCTTTTTTACAAACGTGGTTCAGTCAATCTCAAAATAGTCTCTTGTCATAGTCACTAAGTCCCAAACTAAAAAGCTCCTTTATGTTTTGTTAACACACATACTTGGACTGCGTGAAACTTCCTGACTATTAGTCACCTGGTGCTCAGAAAGGGCAAAGTGAGGTCAGCAGTTTCCCCTGGGGGATCTGTTTTCTCAAGTCAACCAAGCAGTCAGAGTGATTTTTTTAAATCAAATAAGATTATATCTAAATTATCCACATACTCCTACCTTAGTCATTCATCTTGTAGTATATACCTTGTTTCATTTCCTTCATAAAACTATCTCCATTTATCTTATTTCCTTAAATAACTTACCTGTTTTTTTAGTCTATCATTTCCCATTAGAACATGAGTCCTATATGCACAAGGACCTTTTCTGCCTTATTTCTCTGACATTCCTAATGCATGGAAAAGTAACTGCCACGTAATAGAAGCTCAGTGGATACGTGTTAAATTTTTAAAAATGAAGTTAATTTTTAGGTATATTAAGTCTTACTCATTTCTTATGGCATTAGACTATTATTTTCAACCCAAGCCCAGAGCAGTGTCTTTCAGCCTGCATTTTGGGTAAGTGAGCAAACAAAATCCCCCCTGGGTTTAACTCAGTTCTGGCGTGTACCTGCTCACCTACAGGACCGCAGACCTCAGCTTGTGCTCCTTCCTGAGTAGGTCCAGCTTGAAGAATACGCCTGGTCATCCCGTTCTGGCCTCTGATCATCCGGGCCAGGGTGCACATCTATTAGCTTCACTCGAAAATATTTTCACTTTTTGTGAGCCCCCAGTTTTCCAAAGAGCTCTAAATATCTTCCCGGCTCTGCACGCCTTTCCCCTGCCAGGCTCCACGGCATTATATCCCACAGCTTTTACTCTCTTACCCCGGCCTCACCTCCTTGGGCTCTCATCTGCTGGACCCAGTGTTTCTTTTAGCCCAGAAATGATCTGCTCACATAGATATTTTGCTATGTGTACACAAGTGAAATAAATCTCGATGGGCTTTCTTGGAGTGTGGATGCATAAATTAGGTATGGCCACACAGAGCCCATCGTTGGCCCACGCAAGGTGGTCTTTAGGCGGGGAAACCACTATCTTGTCTTATTCTACCTTCTCCAACAAACATGGAGCATACGTACAATAGTACAATATATCTATAACTCACTTACACTCAACATTTTGGATTCCTAGCCTACAGATTTCCCTGTGAAGGAAGACAAGATAACAGGCTTAATGAGCCAAAGAGGTTAAAAAAAGGGAAGCTTTGAGTCCAATTCCAATTCACCCCCAACACGGAGTTCAGAGATTATTCAGAAGGTGGGTGATTTTTCAAGAAAATTATTGTCATCATTCCTTTCAGTGAATCAATATACAAGTACTGTTTCACGTGAGGTAGTCGACTGGTTTCACTTTAAAATTTCATGAATGTCTGCTTATTTTTTATGGGCAATGCGTATGTTTCATGTTATTTCTCTAGCATAGAAATTTATACCTTTGTAAGGGATAGAACTGTTTCATATCTCACTACTTACATCCTTTAAGGTATATCCTTTAAGGTAGCAGTGTGTCATCAAGTCATCTTTAGATAATCAGGGTACCTCAGAAATCAGGTTTTATCTCTTTAACAAGAGTGATCCAGCATGAGGGGCTTGCTGATGAACC